TTTATGAATTTTTTTTACTCTAAAATTAACCCATTTTATTGTCATAAGCGAACGCTGTCCGGGCTACTTATTTTGCGAGCGTCGGCTTTATTTAAACAATGTATAGGTAGGTCCAGGTAGGAGATGATGATAGCTGATATTTATAGTAAAGTTTCTGCTCGAGTTTTGATATTTTGAACACAAATTGAAATAAGTTTGTAATTCAAATATTAAACATTGGCTTTTATAGTAAAAAAAAAGTCCCTACAATTTCACTTTAAAGGTAAATTTACTATGATCGAAAAAGGAAATTAGGGGGCCCCTAAAAATCGGGCCCCTATGTGCAGCCCCCCCCCCCCCCTTAATCCGCCACTGGGAGCCGGGTGTTTTCCCGAAAGACACTTTCTCGAATGCGACAAATGCCCCAATAGAAACATTGCCCAAATGCGACAAACGCCCGAATGGACACCTGCGTTAGAAGATTGTTTTTCTGAGGTGTAATTATATTATAAGTACGGGGCATAAAATGTGAGCTATCAGCTACTCCTTGATAAATAATATATAAATAATATTTCATTCTTACTTTATCACGTTATTTGTAAAATATGGCAATTCAATCAATGTATAAGCACATAAAGCAGTATATAAAGCAATGAGGGCTTATAGAACCATTTTGGAAGTTGATTTAGAGTTTATATGTTTATTGACCTCGTGTGTTTGTAAATATGTCCAGCTGACTTTATTTTCCCCAACATATGTCAAGTACCCATCAGAACTTGGTGGACTAAAGCACGTACTGCAATCACCCGTCTGAAACTTTATTTAAACATTAAAAAAATGTGACGCCTCTAGTTAATACATCTTACATGTAAATGATTGAAAAATAAGAAAATCCTTAAAATTCTACAAATAGTTAAGCCAATCATGTCTACAAGATTAAAATAACTGCCAGTATTACATAAGACTACCTCTTAAATATCATCTACACTCTTTTAAAGTATATGCTCAACTTTCCTCTTACAAAATACTAGACATACACTTTTTATCTTATCTACACTCTTTAATCAGGTCTACCTCTTACCCTATTAAATAACACGAGCAATAAACAAGACTTTACAATCGTGCGTCAGCTTGTTCTGATATAAAATATTTGTTTTTAGCTCAAGTTTACAGTAATGTGTATATACCCTCAGTTTTTTTAGCCTAGGTCGGAGCGTAAAATGGTAGTTTTTAAAACAAATTAATAATATTTTAAGATTTTTGATATTTTTAAAATACAAAAACATACAGAAACCATTTCGAAATATTCTAATAAATGTTAATTTAACAAAATTTAACAGAAATCGATATAATTATATTGAACAGGTTCGGCCATTTAGCTTTCATAACATTACTAGTTCTTCAGTCTCATCTACAACTAAAAACGTTAGGTCCAGAGCATGATATCAGTTCATTAACAGCTAAGCCATACTTTAATCAGCACTCAAATGTGTAAGAGATTTAGCTAAATCTAGATAGTTAAAACTTACCAATTTAGGTTGTTTTGTATAACGCACTGCAGGGCGTTACCGACGACTATAATACATTAATCATACTGTTTAATTTAACTACATTCATACAACTTATTCCTGCCACCAAACTCTCCAATACGCCGACAATTGTTCCACACTGCCAGCAATGTAGCATATCATATTTATAAATACCACACGGGGGTCGGCTTGGTCGAGTCGGTAAAGCTCATGGTTGCTAAACCGAAAAGTCTCGAGTTCGAACCCTCGGGCAGATGAGGCTCGTTAGCTGGGGACAGCCACTCTTCTAGGAGAGATAACTCCAAAATTAAACAACTGCTGCCTTGTAGTTTGTTCTTGGTTGGACAAAGGCTATGGAAGCAAATCCAAAAAGAAAAGCAGGCTGAAATCGGAGTCAATGGCCTCAATGGCGCAAAACCAGTTGACACGTAACACTTAATTGTGCTGGAGGCGTGGTCGAGTCGGCAAAAAGCTCATGGTTGATAAATTCGAACAAAGTCTCGAGTTCAAACCCACTGGCAGATAAATCTCGATCACCTTCAACACCAATAATTAAGAACGAAGAAGAAGAAGAAGAAATACCACACAATTATTCATAAAATGGAATGCCTAATATAGTACCTAAAGTAACCTACAGGTTTTGATAAAACCAGCAAGACCATTTTCTCAAATGACCAAATTCATGTGATAGAAAACTCAATTTTGCGGTATTTTCAAGTCTGCGGGACTGGTTAGAGGTGGGGGGGGGGGGAGAAAGAGGGGTTAGAAGGGTTTTTGGAGGGGGTTTAGGATTCGTGAAGAAATATTTTTTTATAAAAAATAAAGCGGGAGTGTAAGCCCCTAAATTTTCTCGATTACTATAATTTTTTTCTAAAAATAAAACAGAATTGCGTTAAAATAAATTGTGCACCATAATATCTTTAAGCTACAATATGTTTATGGAATCTTATATTTTCTTTTCTAGAGTAGCACTGGCAGCTGAGTGCCAACCTATAAATGATATCACTAAATGAGCATATCGACTAAAAGCCGCTGCATTATTAAAACTCTGTTTATGTTATTTTAATTTTAGTTGAAAAATAATTTGTTTAGTTGAAAAATAAACTAATGACAATGCTTTTTTTGTTTTGTATGTTTATTATTCTCAGTTCGTCATTGTTTTGCTCCGTGATGTATTAAGCGATTGCTAAATTCACAGCCGGGAACGGGGAAAATAGTGATGTATGATTGAGGCCATATGTTTCACGATAAGCAGAGAGGATTAAGTCAAGTCAATTGTTATACTGGACGGGATTTCCAGGAACACAATTAAGTACTACGTGTCAACATGCTATGCGCTGTATAGTCCGCCATGTCCATGTTCAGCCATCTTTAAAAAAAAATGCTTTCAAAACATTGATTATCACCGTAGAAAAAAAAAACACAACAAGAATGCCGTTTTTTTTTTTATTTTAAGGCTTTCTCTCCCAGGTGGTTGTAGTTCCTGTCTATCAGACCATATCTTCCAAGTCGTTTCACCTCGCGTCTAATCTATTTAGAAACCTTCAGTTTACTCACCCGATCACGACGACTCCTATACATAATCAATATCGTATTTCTGTACAGGATGAGCCGAGCCGTTTTAATAACATGACTATTTTCTTCTAATTAAATGTCAATGCAGCTGCAAAAAGTTAGATTTAAGAAGTGTAATCAGATGACTAATAGATTTAGCGATTCCCTATATATGTGATAAGATTAGCTCTAATGAGTAATGGCTTTAGCGTTATTTAGATACGCATATAACATCATGATTAAATACACAAAAACTTACTTCACAAACTCCACTTACAATAACGTTCCCACTTGCTACTATCAACCTCTGTTACTTCAATTGTTTTTGTTTGTTACAAAGTCCCTTACCTAACGCTCTTAGCAATAGTATACAATCTGTACGGCATGATACGGCATGATTATAATATAGTCGAATCTTCCAATTATATAATACCTAATTTAGTTCATAATTTAACCTACTTCCTTTTGATCAAGATAAAAACACGATTTTTTAATGACTCTGTCTTTGCATTGTTAGGCTATATTTTAAGTCTCATAAGCAAAATATAACTCGCATGCTCGTTGCTAATAACTGGTTCGAAAAATTCACTGCATTGTGGGAAGGGAAAATAAACTGTTAGCCATATAATCCACAGACATTTAATTCTTTGAAATGTTTTATCCAATTCTTTTGTAAAAACATTAGTCTAAAATATTCATTCACCTCAACTCTGGCTTATTTTAATATTCTCATAAATTGTTTACATTTGTTATTACTTTTGATTAATTATTTAGAACATATATTGTATTTTTTAGATGTAGTACATCCGGTTTGCCGGTTAGGAATTACATCGATTCGATCAAAAATATCACGTAAATGTTATGTTTATTTTCAACCTCGACTTCAAGCAACCTCATTTCAAGCTTAACATTAATCTTAACTTTAACCTTAACTCAACCGTTACGGGAAACTGAACATTAACCAGATCGGTTTTTAAACCAGCACTAAATCGTGAAACTACAAACCTCGTGTAGCCTATCTAGTAACTACACCGTATCGTATCACTTCAATTATTTTTAGATTGCCACTACACCCCTCGCCTAGACTTCGTCCTTCATTTAATCTAAACCCTTAATACCTACACTCAGTGTAGAAATATCAACTACACTCAATGTTTGTATATCATTAGACCTGGGAGATGCAAACGTGCAACAGCTTGCTGTTTTGTAAAATTACCAATTCAATTTTAGCTCATGCGATTTAGTGCACAGTGATTTTACAAAAACTGTCGGACAAAGTTTATTTGTACCCAACACATCGATTCGAATAAATTTTTTTTGGAAATTAGGTAATTACGTTTTGTTAAAATGTGTTTATTAGACATTGTTTATGCATATGTGCCTAGATAAATGATATTAATAAGAAAATTAATATTTTTATTTGACTACAATTTAAAAAAAATATATTTAGTGTTTTTTCTTTAATTTGTTGTATTGTTGTAAATGCAGTATATAGAATGATACAAAACAAAAAACCTAAGTTGAAACTATGTGTGTAAGAATAAGATACATAGATATTGCTTTTGTTTTCTCCAGCTGTTTACAATGAAAATAACAGTTGTTCTAGTCTTGATGTGTCTCACAAAGCTCTTTGTAGTATCGGAAAGGCGAGTGAACAAAAATGTATTTAACACATAATCCTGAAAAAAAATCACATTTAAATTTAAAAGAGATACATTTTTTTTAAACCAATAAATATTTACATTTTAAAAGTTGTATTTTTTAAATGTGTAGGTGATTTAACAACCTTTAGAAGTAACCTAGACAAAACATAATCTGTTTTATTGTTTTACCATTAAAAAATAATGTACCACTTTACGCAACGTCGGTCGCGAATTTTAAAACCCTTAGTATATACTAAATACATTTCAAATCTCACTTAAGTTGTTTTTTTCCAACAACTAGCTGTTGTGGTGGCACTAATCATGAATGCTTGCAACCAGGGTATTGCTGCATTGACCATTACTGCTTGGTGTCAAGGTACAAGTCATTACATTTAATTGATTACTTTTTGAATACGATCTTTAAGAAATAATGTCTGTTAAACCTTATCTGAATATACTATATAAGAATATAAAATTATTAAGCTAGATAATGGTGTAAACGACTTGGCTGAAAGTCAGTTATGTATTAGCTATATACTTCAGGAAAATGTGTAATTGGCTTTTAGTCTAACGAGAGTAGCAATAGGTTTATATTGCAATTAGCTAAGTAATAGGTTTATAGTATATTCGACTATTTCCGATTTACAAAAAATGTGAGGTTAAAGATAAAAAACATAATGGTAAAATAGTTGTAGGATGTAAATTATATGATAAATCAATAAGACGTTTAGGTAGAGGTACTTAACAACAAGGAGGACGGATTGGTCTAGCGGTAGAGAGTTGGACTGCTAACTCGTAAGTCTCGAGTTCAAATCCGGGTTCAAGTTTAGTAGACCGTCCCAGCTCTGATGGGTACCTAACTCACGTTAGGGAAAGTAAAGGCGGCTGGCCTCATTTCTGACCACACTATCTCTTCATATGCCGAGGTCACAGAAACAGGTGAAATCTACTTTACTTGCCCCATAGACCGTCAGGTTTGAAAGGGTCACTTTTACTTAATCACAAAATACGTTTTTGATTTTTAAGTTGCCATTATAATAAATCCAGTATTTTAATATAATCAAAAATCTATTTTTTTATTTGTAATTTGCAGTAAAAAAGATGCTTCGCCTACTTGCCAAAAACGATTTCCATGGTTACATGTAGGATATTTTAAATCTTCGATTAAAAAAACCCCTAACCTAACACACTACATCCCACACCAACACCATACCCTGTATTCAATCCCTAACTTCTCCCTTGTGCAACACATCTCCCCACACATATTTACCACACAACAGAACGTCTACGTGTACATTAGTTTCATTAGTTTAAAAAATTGATACCACACTTTACATTTGAAGTCAGCCTGAACCTTAAACTCAACCCAAACATAAATACATATAAACTTAACACAGTCTGAACAAAAAAATCAACCTAAACATAAATCCCTATAAACACATCACTGCAGTAGCTTTTACTTGGACCTCTATGCGGAACTTACCGCCATTAAAATTGTCCACCTATAGCTTCACTTATCTGCACTAGAACATTCCTCTTCGACCGTTAGCTTCACTCTCCTGACTTACGTTTTTAACTTGGAGCGTTAACTTCACTCTCCTGTTTTCCCTTGGACCGTTAACTTCACTCTCCTGACTGTTTTACCTTGGACCGTTAACTTCACTCTCCTGTTTTCCCTTGGACCATTAACTTCACTATCCTGACTGTTTTCCCTTGGACCGTTAACTTCACTCTCCTGACTGTTTTACCTTAGACCGTTAACTTCGCTAACCTGACTGTGGTCAAACCCCCTATGGTCAAAGCCCCTATGGTCAAAGCCCCGCTGTGGTAATTTAAATTTAAAACACATCATTGTATTTTAAATTTTACTATAATTACTTTTGAATATTGATATACATGTAACAAAAAATGTACAAATTAAAGCGTCAAAAATAAATGAATATATATTAAAAAAAGGTATATCAGGTTTAAAAATCCATAACTATCCGTGTTGTTTGATAAATAGCACAAGTAAATGATAGTTTCTACTTTGATCAGCTCATAAAAATGAAAACTGTAGTTCTTATTCTTCTGGTATGTCTTGCATGTCTAGTAGTTGTATCAGAAACGTAAATTATCTTATATTTTCTTCTTTTCTTTGGTTTTCTTTTTCATTATTAAATTTACGTAAAATAAAAATAAAATATTTTAAAATAAATGGCATAATAGGCTTCTTTGATCATCGAGAAGCGATTTTTTTGTAATAATTTGTTAACAATGTGAAAAAAACTGTTACAAAACTAAAACGATTCACAGCTCAACGGGAAAATAAAAATAACTTCATTGCATCTTTTTAATTTTTAAAATAGCAATTAGCTTTCAAAATTAAAGGACAACATGTCAGTACATTAAAGAAGTCAAATTTTTAAGCTACTGATTAAGTTGGTGATTCATACCCTAAGCACAGTTTGTGTAAATAAATTACTGTGAATAGATCAGTCAAGTCCAAGACGATATGAAATAGCAGCTGAATAAAAAAAGAAACTCAATAGTTCATCTTTGACGCGTCGTTCATCTGTCCATTAGACTCCCTTAAAACTGTTCAGTAAACATGATTTTAGTACAGACAGTTAGACTAGTAATGCCTGTATATAAAAAACGCAGAATGAAATATGTTTTGGTCAATCCTAAAACACTTTTTAAAAATTAATTCTAGATCACAATTAACTTTTCTTATATCTCGCTCCCACTCTCTCTTTCTCTTTTCCTCTCTCTCTCTCTCTCTCTCTCTCTAATTTCCATCATCGAGGCTTAAGTGCAGAGAGCTAGAATAGTAAATCCAGACGTGTCCGTATCTGAATAACATAGAATGAAATAAATTTAACTTAATCGTAAAATGTGTTTCTTAAGTAAAATAGACATGGTTTTTCACCTATTAATCCATCTCTTTTAGCGTGAATAAGAGAGGCAACAAAAAAGTATGCAAGAATTTACCTGGTGAAAGGTATGATACAGAAAAGTATTAATTTAACAATTCGTTTTCTTGAATTATGTTCTTTTTTTTATAATACTTTGATTGATGTACATCTTCCTTGTTTTTTTATGCATAAACATGTAACTGCCTGAAATCAAGTGTAGATAGTCAATACTTAAAAGATCGGCCCGCACTATTATTTTTAATTATATACGAACTAGTTAATTATTACATATATTTTTAAAAATCATGTATTCATCCAAAATCAAACAACTACTGCCTCGTAGTTTTTTCATGGTTGGACATGGGCTATGGGAGCGAATCCAAAATTTAAAAGCAGGCTAAAATCGGAGTCAATGCCTTCAATGGCGCATAACCAGTTGACACGTAAACTTAATTGTGTTGGAGGTGATTCCTTCCAACACTAAAATCAAGAACGAAGAAGAAGAAGATACTAAATGAAAGGATTTGCATGTTAGTCTCATTGTTTTCATCATGTTAATTATGTCTCGATTTTCATATCAGGTAAATGAATGATAAGAAGACATCCAGTTCAAAATAAAAAAATTTAATAGACAATATTTTGTATTTCTAAGTTATTTGATTGTCTTGTTCGCGGTTGTGCTAAATGCGGCAAACACGGTCCTAAATTGAACACAAAATTACTGGCAGAAAATTTTTACTTTCCTCCGATCTCTGCAGTGGAATACATTAAGTATATGAAATGGCATCTAATTCACTAGATATATTAAGCCGTTCAATTTTCTAGCAATTTACTTTTTAGAATTTAAAATGAATATTTGGCCAACAAAATAAAATTACTTGCTTTGCCCAGCTGACATCCTTGTCTTTGTGATAAGGATCGTACTCATTACAATCAAGACTTTTGTTCAATTAAAATATCATTTATAGGAAGTATGCATACCAAGTATTCTCTAAGAAGATCTCAACCATGACAACTAAGCTTGTTTGCTCATACAGTGTAAAAGCTGGTAGATAGAATGTCTGCCATAACGATTAAAGTATCAAAACTAATAAAAGTTGCTAAAATTATGAATAAGTCTTAAATACATACGAGCAAAACTAATGCATGCTATTACCAGTTTGCACGTTCAACACACAAGCTGAATGTGTCAACAAGCATATAAATAGAATGAACAAAGAAGTAATTTAAAAATCCTAACTAGCTGTAAGATACAATATATTTAATTATGAACCCTACTTTTTCTAGCTCTCCCTCTCTATCTACACCTCTCTATCTTACTCTCTGTATCTCTCTCATTTTCTCCTTTCCTATATCTTTTTTTCATAGATATTAAAAACTGCTCCTCATCTATCATATCATTTATAGTTTTCGATGATGCAAACAAAACATTTTAGTAATATAAAATCGTTGACATATAAAACGTATCGTCACAGAAACAAGTGATCTCCACCTCACTTGCCCCGTAGACCGTCAGATTTGAAAGGGAACTTTACTTATTAATTTCCAATAGCACAACAAAATTTGTTCTATTGTAAATATTCCCTGACAATATTACTTCTCCTTACCTTGGTATCACATATATGCTTGGTTACCTAAACCCTATCAATTTCTCGTCATTTATATAACGTAACAAAACCTCGTAGTTAAAAGCGAGTGGTACTGATAGCTGTAAACTCTGTATCACTTACACTTCTGACCTAGGAGTACCACCTACACTCCTGCCCTAGGAGTACCACCTACACTCCTGACCTAGGAGTACCACCTACACTCCTGACCTAGGAGTACCACCTACACTCCTGACCTAGGAGTACCACCTACACTCCTGACCTAGGAGTACCACCTACACTCCTGACCTAGGAGTACCACCTACACTCCTAACCTAGGAGTACCACCTACACTCCTGACCTAGGAGTACCACCTACACTCCTGACCTAGGAGTACCACCTACACTCCTGACCTATGAGTACCACCTACACGCCATGACTTTAAAGTACAATATTCACTTCTTGACATTAAAGACATTAAAGTACAACTCACTAACTTTGAAATAGCATCTACACTCACTGACCTTGAAATATTGCATATACTCCCTAACCTTGAAGTACATCCTACTTTACCTGACCTTGAAGTAACACTTACATTTAATAACATTAACTACTGCGTACGCTGATATTGAAGTACCACCTACACTCGCTGACCTAGAATTACCACCTACATTTGCAGATATAAAATGCTATCAGTTATACTTCACATATGTGAAAATGTATCGATCTTTAAGCTTTTTGGTTTTTAACTATATATAATGATCGATAGCCAATTTAAAATGTCTAATTTATAAAACTTACACATAAATGATGCATATACATAACATGTGATCAATAGCACTCCATCAGATTTCTGTAAAAAATAGTAAACGGGTAAAATTTCTGTATTGTTGTTTTGTGATCTGTATTATCGAACTTATTAGGCTATTTATATCAGACATGTATATCCTATGTTTTCTATTGATAGTAAATTAAATATATATATATAGCTCTAAAAACTAAGTGGGGATTTTGTGTGTGTTCCTCACAGCTATTATATCAGGTACTTGCAGGTGAGTTGCAGAAAAAAACGTTTTTAATCGTCCTTATAAACTATAAACTGTAACTCGTTAGGAAACAATTATTTCTCTAACGTTTTTTTATGGTCCATCCGCATATGTTTTTCACTAAAATAATGGCTGAAAATTGTCGATATTTATGACACCGGCGAAAATCTTTACAACGGATTATAAACGACACATTTTTGTGTGTGTTAATGTAAAGGTTTTACAAGCGATGTAAATACGAGATGGATCGCTGATAAGAATTCACGTAATACTTGACCCAAACCACACAGACGTTTTATTCACGGTTGAATGAATGTTTATAATTATGGTACATCGGATCCTCACTGGGGAGGGGGTGGGCAATACGTGCGGACGTGTTGGAGTGTGGTTAGACTCAAGTACTATACACAGGTTTGGGTGGTACGCTATTATAAAGAGTCACAGACATGTTCAAGTTAAAATTTAAGTGGTGATATTCAATGTGTTGAAAAATGTGGTGTATTTGAGAGTTAATATATAGTAGTCATTAACGCATTTCCTTTTCATACATTATTTCTGCTTATATAAAAACCTACCTGAAACTTAAAACTAAATTCAATATATATTTTATTAGTCAAATGCTTTTTCCACATAAAAGAAGACGTCATTAATTGTCTCATGTAAGCGGAACCGTACGGTTTCATTTTCCATCCTTCGTTTTAAGTTTACTCAACTATGCATTGTTAAAAGACTGAAGCATCTCACATGCATTCAGCATTATACCACCCACAACATACCGTGTGTAGGCCTTACATTAAGTTAGCACGAATAAGAATTCATATTTATGTATCATAACCCACTAATTTTGATTCTACGCAATTGTTTTTAATTAAAAATTGAATTCAAGCTATCTCAATTAAAAAAGTGTAGTTGTAAAGATTTGATTCAGAAATCTGAATATTTTATCAGATTTTAAAATATCTTTTGCGAACAATGTTATAGAGTGTTATTTATCGGCGGCTATTTACTATTTTTGTTTAAAGTTGATAGCTATTAACAAAATTAATTAAATGAATTAATTAAAAACCATGCAACATGTTTTCACTATGTGGTATGTATCCTTAAAATATAATAATACACTATTTAAATAACTATAAAGAAAAGCTTGAGCCACTAAATTAATTATTTTATATATTTTCCTATATTTTGGAAGAGACCCTCGCTTTCTTTATAGTTATTTAAATATTAGTATATTATTAGATTCTATACATTTAAAGAAATACCTTTTCTTCTCTTTTTAGTGCATGTTGACATAAAACGCTTTTTAAAAGTCCTTTTTATTTTTTAATTTTTTAATACAATAGATTTTCTTAACTAAAAACAATGGCGCAACTAATGAACATGATATTGCGCGTATACTAGTGTGGAATAGTAGTAGCAGGAAACCCTACTAATTTCAAAAAATTAATTAGTGATATCAATTAAGTAAAAGTTGATGTCAGATAGCATTATCTTCAAGTCTTGACTTATGTGCTGACTTAGAAACCAATTGGTCAGTTAAAAATGCTCGAAATTCCCCTTGCCCTTTTTGATCTATGAAGACATAACGATATGTTGAGGAAGAAAGTTATAAAAAACTTGCAAAAAATGCATATAAAACGTTGTAATAATTGTTTTTTGTATTAATGCAATAAAAAGTTTAAAAAATGATTTTCTTTAAATATATAATATTACACTATATCAGGGGTCTCCAAACTTTTCAGTAGGAGGGCCGTATTAACTATCAAATTTCAGTTCGGGGGCCAGTTTCTTCCAGGCATGTCTTTGATTTTTCTGGGCAAATTTCCCCAGCCATCACCAACAAACGTTTTTTCCTAGGACAAAAATATCTCCGCGGGCCGGATGAGAGGACCTCGCGGGCCGCATCCGGCCCGCGGGCCGTAGTTTGGAGACCCCTGCACTATATAATTATAAAAAAGAGCGTGGGTCACTATATTATCTATTTAATACCTTTTTTTAATATTTAGTTATTTAAATGGTGTTAAGCATTTTAAAAAACTGTTTATCAGTTTGACTCTTAAAGTTAGTATATTTTTTTTAACAAAATGATATATTGGTGAATGGCTGATAATGTGTTGGATAACTTTTTAGCATCACACGCTATTGCAGTTTCTGAGCCTAGCATTATGTAACGCTCTTTAATTTATCGTAAAATATATAGTAAATATAAATTCATATACACGTTATCATTTACATTTGAACATGACTATAATTGGCTAAACACAACCTAGATGATAACGACAATTAGTTTACATTATATTTTGAAAAAGCAAACAAATGTTAATGAATAAATACAAATTAATTACTATTTATTTATTATTAGCTTTAAGCACAATACATTTGTGAGTGTGAAAATTCTTTGGTTTTTGCAGCTGCTTAAAATGAAGATCTTTGTTCTGCTACTTGTTGTGAGTCTCTCAAATTTTATTGACGTAACTAACAGGTATGTAAAATAAACCCTTCAAAGAAAAATGCTAAAATTAAAATAATTCGTTAAAAATGACTTTACAGAATAGATTAGTAAAATAAATAACTTCTTGAACTAAAATAGAAAAAAAAATTAGAATGTTTATATTTTTGAAATTTTTTAAATTGTTAGAAAAAAAATTTGTACTCGCCAAGATAACTTACGTTTTTCGACATAGCATGAACAAAATAAATGTGGCTGATCTTTTAAAACACAGTTACTCCAGTTACCCATTTTTTCTTATGGTATAACTAAATTATTTCATGCTAAATGTGTTAAACAGCTGCTGTAAAACATCAAATTTTGCTTGCTTTGGAAATTGGGAATGTTGTGAAGGCTTTCACTGCGTACATCATGGGTAGGCTAATAATTTGTTTATTGTTGTTGTTATTGTTTTTATTAAAAACAGAGTGTTTTTTTTTAATAAACGATTATCCCTCATTACAGATCATGATATCTCATATTAAATTTCAGAGAGCCACCAATAAAAACGTTTGTCTTGTTTTGAATAACGTCTCATTAAATAAATAAAAACTTTCGAGTGTGCAAAAGTATAAAAGACAACAAAATAAGTACTATTTATTACATTTGATAGTAAAAAAAATAATTCCATTCATCGGATTGAATATATTTTCAAATAAGCGTCTCATTATTAAGCTCAATATAAATCATTATGCTGATGTCCTTTACTGAAACCCTAAAAACAGAAATGAAAATTGAATAGTTATTGTGAATGTAGTGCAGTCTATTATAAGGCAGCCTGCATAAACCTCTGGGGCATAGATAGTTGGTTATTATCTGGAGGGGATGGGGGGGGGGCATACATAAATTTCAGAGAGCCACACATAAAAATGTTTACCTTGATTTGATTAACGTCTAATTAAATACATTAAAGCTTGTAAGTGTGCAAAAGTTAAAAAAAACAACAACATGTGTACCGTTTGTCACATTCGATAGTAAAAGTATAATTCAATAATCGTATTGATTATATTTTCAAATAAGCATTTTATTAAGCTCAATATAATCCATTATGATGATTTTATTTATTGACACCCTAATCACAGAAATGTAAATTAAATAGTTGTTGTAAATCTAGTGCAGTCTAGTAGAAGGTATCCTGTATAAACCTCTGGGGCATAAATAGGCGGTTAATATCTGGAGGGGGGGGGCATATGTCGAGGGGATTTATGTCCAGATGGTAATTGTCCTAAAACCAAAATAAACATGGACCTCAGAATGCACATTTTCTTTGGCGGAGACCGGTTCCTTAGGAAATTCTGTCATCTTTTAAGTATATTATATTAAATGTGTACCGTGAATTCTGACCTAATTCAATTTAAAAAATTCATTCCAACTAATCGAATATATGCCACTTAAGAAACATCAACTGTGTTGTTTCCAGCGGGATGCTATTAGTGCACACACGAGTGTTGTGAGAAATATAAATAATTTTAAACACATTATTCGTAAAAATAGAAGCTCGTAGTGTTAGATGAGAGCCATAGTTGTAATACAATAAAAGATTGCACGTTTGAAATAGCCGTAGTCACCACAAAATTAAGAATATTATTTGACGAATTTAGCGTTAAATCAGGCATGAACGTTTTGTGTCAAAATAGATTCATATTTTTAGTGCAGCTGTCATATGTGGAGAACCTTTAGTGTGAGGATTGGAAACTAATCAATAGAATGTAAAATAAAAACTAAAATCCAATAGGCTAAAGATACAACGAAGTTTTGGTAAAACTCGAAATTGACCAAGGGTGAAAAAACAAAGAAAACACGGGTATATAGAGGAGTTAACCCTTTGAGCCCGCCAGGCCGGTAAACCGGCTTCAACATTAGGCATATATGTCCGAAAAGCCGGTTTTCCGGCCCGATGATCTATCGTCATATTCCTAGCGGCCGGTGTACCGTTAATTAAATATAATTAGCGGAAGACTGACTAAAACTACGCATATGTCTTTTGGGTGCGGGATTATGATTTTAAAAATTGATTTTTAGGAAAAGTGAAAGTGTTTACATTTCGTAGCAATGCCGCGGAAACGAAAAGCTGAGCTACAGCCGTCGACTTCATCACATAAAGTTGGCGCAAAAGATGAAGCAAAAGACCGAAATATCAACAAAAGAAGTAGAATGACTGCATCTCAGGCAATACAACTACTTCTTGATTCTGATGAAGAAGATAATATTCCTGGTCTATATTGTGATGATAGTGAAGTTGAATTTGAGACTGAACACAGTGACATTGAAATTGACAGTGACAATGAAACTGTTCAAGTACGTTCTGATGCACGTGGTGTCAATTACAAAGACTTGCCGAAACGAAAAAAAAAATTTACTGGTGCAAAAAATGCGAATTTTTCTTTGCATCTGGTCCGGCAGTGATGAATGTTTTGAAAGTTATCACACAAAAGTGGACTTTTGGTGTTGAACTAGTATGGCCAGGTATCAATAAAAACAAAACAACTACTAAATGTAAATTGGTTTCTTCTATGTTCTATCAAAACAATAATTATGTGTTCGTTTTATATACATTGTTCTGTTCAAACATTGTTATAAAAATTCGCAGTTTTAGAATTTTGCTGCATTGTTGTTTGATCCTGAGTCTGGATACCAAATAAGGCTTGATTATCTCAAACGGTTCAATTGTTATAGGCAAAGTTAGAAGCAGATAAGTGAAAATCGGTTTGGGCCTGGGAGCTCAGGAAATAGGAGAAATTAGGTCAGGGAGGCCAGGGCTCAAAGGGTTAAATTAGCAACTGGTGTACGATAACACAAAATTACGCACGTTATTTAATGGGTTTAACTTACAATATGTATAAGTAATCGTAAATGTTAATAGCTTTAAGTTACAATATGTTTACGCAATCTTATATATGATTGGCTTTAAGTTAAAATATGTTTAAGTAATCGTACATGTTAATAGCTTTAAGTTACCATATGTTCATGTAATCTTATATTTTTTTTCTAGAATAGCACTGGCAGCTGAGTGCCACCCTTTAAATGAGAACACCGGCTAAATGACGCTTCAATATTTAAGTAAAGTTATTTTGAGTTCAGCTTCAAAATAAATTAATGCCAATGCTTTTTTGTGTTTGTATGTTTATTATTCTCTGTTCTTCATTGTTTTGCTCCGGGATGTATTAAGCGATTGCTAAATTTACAGCCGGGAACGGGGAAAATGGAGATGTATGATTGAGGCCATATGTTTCACGATAAACAGAGAGGATTGAGTAAAGTCAATTGTTATACTGGACGGAATTTCTTGGAACACAAGTATTACGTGTAAACATGTTATGTGCTATGTTGACTGTCATGTCCATATTCAGCCATTTTAAAAAAAAATGCTTTCAAAACATTGATTGTCCACCGTAGAAAAAAACACAACAAGAATGCCGTTTTGTGACTTTAAACTTTCTCTCCAATCTGGTTGTTGTTCCTAGGTATCATACAATATCTTCCAAATTGTATTTCCCATTTAGCAACCTTCAGTTTACTCACCCCTAATCACTGCGACTCCTAAATATAATCAATTTCGTATTTTTGTACAGGGTAAGCCAAGCCGCTTTAATAACGTGATTATTTTTATCACACGATTATTAGATTTAGCGGTTCCCCATATATGTGATTAGATTAGCTCTACTGAGTAATGGCTTTAGCGTTATCAAGATACGCATATAACATCTTGAGTTGAATACACAAAAAATTACTTCACAAACTCCACTTATCATAACGTTCCCACGTGCGACTATCAACATCTGCTACCTCAGTTTTTTTTGTTCCACAGTCACTTACCTAACGCTCTTAGCAATAGTGTACATTTGGTACGGCATAATTATAATATATTTAAATATTATTATTATATAATACCTAATATTGCACCTAATTTAAACTTAACGTTAACAACTCATATATAACTCAAATGCTCTTGCTAATAACTGATTAAAAGTATAGACGGCGTGGCGGGGAGGGAAATAAACCATTAGCCAAAAAATCAACCTACTTCCTTTTGATCAAGATAAAAACACGATTTTTTAATGACTCTGCCTTTGCAATGTTAGGCGATATTTTAAGTCTTATAAGCAAAATATAAATCGTATGCTCGTTGCTAATAACTGGTTCAAAAAATTGACTGCATTGTTGGGAGGGAAAATGAACCGTTAACCATATAATCCACAGACATATAATTCTTTGAAATGTTTTATCCAATGCTTTTGAAAAACATTGGCCTAGAATACGTCATCTCAACTCTGGCTTCTTTTAATACTCTCATAATTCTTGTAAAATAGTTTACATTTGTTATTGCTATTGATTAATTTTTTCGAACTTTTGTTTTATTTTTTAGATGTAGTACATCCGGTTTGCCGGTTAGGAATTACATCGATTCGATAAAAAAATATCACGTGAATGTTATGTTTATCCTCATCCTCGACCTCAAGCAACCTCATTTCAAGCTTAACATTAATCTTAACTCTAACCATAACTAACCGTTACGGGAAACTGAACATTAACCAGATCGGTTTTTAAACCAGCACTGAATCGTGAAACTACAAACCTCGTGTAGCTTGTCTACTAACTACACCGTATCGTATCACTTCAATTATTTTTAGATCGCCACTACACCCCTTGCCTAGACTTCGTCCTTCATTTAATATAAATCCTTAATACCTACATTCAGTGTAAAAATATCAACTACACTCAATGTTTGTATACCTTTAGACCTGCGTGGTCATGACGGCGGAAGGGATGCAAATCCCCCGCTTAGGATCCAGGAGCGACCTGAGTGGCCTAAGTGGTCCAGTGGTTAGGATTTCGACGCGCCACTGTGTATGACCCTCTAAACGAACCCGGTACGTTCGCCAGCTCTGCGACTGTTAGAGTGGTGATCGTAATAAGCTTTACAGGTTTGCTCATACAGGGTGAATTCTGGTAGATTGAATGTCTGCCGTAGCCATGAAGGTATCGAATCAGATAAAAGTTGCAGAAATTATGTTTAAATCTGTAATACATATGAGCAAAACTAATCAATGCTATTAACAGTAAGGACGTTAGGCGAACAAAAAAAGTTCCATTTGTCAACGTGCAATGAAATAGAGAATACATATAGAACGGATAAAAATTAAAAACTAGATATACGGCACATTTAATGATGAGCCCTAGTTCTTCTGGCCTCTATCTTTCTATCTCTACCTCACTCGCCATTTATTTAATTTTTTTTCTTTCTCTTTTCGCTAATTCTGTTTCCTTGTTCATTAAATATCTATAACGCTTCTTACAATGCTTTTATATAATGCAAAAGTGTGAAGTAACACCATCTGACCCCCCCCCCCCCACGTCCCCATCACACACCGTCACAAAATTATTGATCCTCCCCCATCCTCCTACGAGTGTGACGTCATTTATAGTCGACCTCTTAGTCTCACATACATGCTACAGCCTTCTTAGAAATACAACCTATCTACACGAGAAAAATGGCCCGTTGAGGAAGGATACAACGGGCGCTAGGTTGATAGTCCTGTCTGTTTTATCTAAACTAAAACCAATTCCCCCCCCCCCCCCCCCCACACACACACCCCAAAACATGTCTACCGTCCCATTCAGCGAAATATAATTATTTACTTTTTTCAGTGTCCGCCCCCTCCCAGAAACATCTACCCCCGCCCCCGAAAATTTCAAGTACCCCCACCCCTCTCCGGGGAGGAAAAAGTCTGAAAGAAACACTGGTCGCATTTGTAGATCATACAAACTAAAGGAAGAACCTGGGCGGGGCTTCGCCCCTACCGGAAGAGATGCATGAAAAAAACTGCACGCTAAACACTTTTTAGAATAGAAAAAGTTCCCCCCTCCGGGGAGGAAAAAGTCTGAAAGAAACACTGGTCTCGCGCTTAGCCATTACCCGAAGAATTGCATGAAAGAAATTCTGCACGTAAACTACTTTTTAGATTAGACACATGAATTATGCTGTAATTTTATTATAGAGTATCAATGACGACATTTCTTTTGAGTTGGGGGGGGGGGTAGGCTTAGACGTTCTTACGCGTTCTTATTTTCTACTATATGCTCCAATGTGACGTCATATTTCGTTTCCGTCTTACTCTGAAAGTTTTTACTTTGCTTGTGTTTTCTCTAGAGCGTTCTTGTCAGATACATAGACACATACATACACAGACAGCGAAACTATTATTATTAATAGCACGTGTCATAATATATGTGGTGACACAACGGGATTATTTATAGTTGAAGCTTATTTAAATTAAGTATTTTCTTTAAAAAGTATGATGCATGATTGACAATCTATAGATATATATATATATATATATATATATATATATATATATATATATATATATATATATATATATATATATATATATATATATATGTATGTAAACAATATATGTATGTATACAACTCTCACATTCGGTCTCTGTTAGTACAACCTACATTCTGTAAATGTATCAACTACTTATACACTACTTATCATCAAGTATCACCGAATTGTCGAACCATCGCATCATATTAGCACCCATTATCATAATAGTTTGTATTCTAGTGTTGTGATGTCATGTTTCAGACAACTGGTATGCAATAATTTAACGTAGGCAATTTCTATTGGTTGTTGTAAACTCGCGTATTGAAAAATCAAGTTAACCACATCGAATGTTAAAACTTGAGTAAAGTTTAGTTAGTGATAAGTTTCAGTAGGCTGGGTAGGTGATATACAACGACAGTGAGTGTGGGGGGGGGGGGTTCTAACTATCATGTGAGTATATGACCTTATTACATGACACCATTATAAGCAGAGCCGCTTAATTTAATCTTAACATGCGATGTCCGAGCAGCAGATTTAAGCTGGTCATGGTCATGGTCATGGCCACCAAGAGTGTAGACAAAGTGAAATGTAAAAGCACGCAAATGGCTCTAAATAATTTCTATTTTTTGAAGTTTGGTTCCATAATTTATTTATGGATTAATCATTTGAGATTCGAGCTAGAAAAAATCACCCCTTAATTAGTGTGACACACTTTCAGATTAACACTTTGAGATTAAGTGACTCACGGGTTTTCTCTTGTGCTCACGCCAAACTCTCGTCATGCTTCATGTCCACATCTATTGAACGCAAACACAAGAGACATGCTGAAGGAATATTCTTTCCAATCAAACACTATTCTTAGGACGTGCTAATGCTGCCCACGCAGTGCATCGCAGACGCTCTGCTTGTAGATTATTAAATAATTATCATTAAAAAAGTTTAATAAAACCCACGTTTTCTGAATGAACTAAAAAGTAGAAAATAAATGCTATACATCACAAAAATGCAAGCGATCACTCTACTATAAGCGATGAAAAACGTTGGGCGCCGAAGTAATTGTTTTTTATCGGTCATTGTTAATATAAGATGTAAAAGTTATATTACTATTGATTAGATAATACTATTGATTTATATTAGGGAGCTTGTAGAGAGTCAACAGTATTAGAAACTGTAAGAAAATCACGGCACCCCACGTTTTTCATCGCTTATAGTAGAGTGATCGCTTGCATTATTGTGATGTATAGCATTTATTTTCTACTTTTTAGTTCAATCAGAAAACGTGAGATTTTTAAAACTTTTTTAATGATAATTATTTTCTACTTTTTAGTCTTTGTCTGTTTGTTTGCATTCAAATCTTGCTATCGATTTGATCTTCTCGCATTCACTTTTTTTTGGGTAAACGAAGACAACTTGTAAAAAATACGTGCCTTTTCCAATCGACGTTTCTTCTGTGTTAGATTTGCATAGGTTTGTACACAAACACCGCGTGACCACTACTCAGTAAGCCTGAAGAGGGAAAGTACCGATCCTTGTTTTTATCAAATTACAATTTTTTTTGTACAGGGGGGTAATATTACAGGGGGGTAATTGTCCTAAATCCAAACTAAACGTGGACCTCAGAACGCACATTTTCTTTGGCGGAGACTGGTTCCTAAAGAAACACTGTCATCTTTCAAGTATATTACATTAAATTTGCAACTAGAAGTCTGACCTACTTCAATTTAAAAAATTCCTTTACAACAAAGCGAATATATTCAACTGCGTTGTTTCCAGCGGGATGCTATTAGCGCACACACGAGTGTTGTGAGAAATATACATCATTTTAAACACATTATTCGTATATAGACGCTCGTTGTGTTAGATGAGAGCCATAGTTGTAATACAATAAAAGATTGCACGGTTAAATTAGACGTAATCACCACAAAATTAAGAATATTATTTGATGAATTTAGCGTTAAATCAGGCATGAACGATTTTTGTCAATATAGATTCATATTTTTAGTGCAGCTGTGATATATGGATAACCTTTAGTGTGAGTATTGGAAACTAATCAATAGAATGTAAAATAAAAACTAAAATCCAATAGGCTAAAGATACAATGAAGTTATGGTAAAACACGAAATCGATCATGGGTGAAAAAACAAAGAAAACACGAGTACATAGAGGCGTTAAGCTAGCAACAGGTGAACGACAACACGAAATTACGCACGTTATTTAATGGCTTTAACTTACAATATGAATAAGTAATCGAATATGTTAATAGCTTTAAATTATAATGTGTTTGTGTAATCGTATATGTTAATAGCTTTAAGTTACAGTATGATTACGCAATCTTATATATGATTGTCTTTAAGTTAAAATATGTTTAAGTAATCGTGTATGTTAATAGCTTTAAGTTACAATATGTTCATGTAATCTTATTTTTTTTTCTGATGAAGCACTGGATGCTAAGTGCCACCCTTTAAAGGAGCACAAGCACATCGGCTAATAGACGTTGCAATATATATGCCCCTGTTAAGTTTCTTTGAGTTTAGTTTCAAAATAAACTAATGCCAATGCTTTTTTGTGTTTGTATGTTTATTATTCTCTGTTCTTCATTGTTTTGCTCCCGGTTGTATTAAGCGATTGCTAAATTCACAGCCGGGAAAATGGAGATGTATGATTGAGGCCATATGTTTCACGATAAGCAGAGAGGATTAAGTCAAGTCAATTGTTATACTGGATGGAATTTCTAGGAACACAATAAAGTATTACGTGTAAACATGTTATGCGCTGTCATGTCCATATTCAGCAATCTTTAAAAAATTGCGTTCAAAATATTTATTGTCCTCCGTAGAAAAAAACACAAAAAGAACAAAAAGAATGCAGTTTTGTGACTTTGAAGCTTTCTCTCTCAGCTGGTTTTTGTTCCTGGCTATCTTACCATATCTTCCAAATTGTCTTTTCCATTAAGCAAACGTCAGTTTACTCAGCTAATCACGGCGACTCCTAAAAAGGTCAATATACTATTTTCGAACAGGGTGGGCCGAGCCGCTTTAATAACGTGATTATTTTTTTTTTTCTAATTGAAGGTCAATGCAGCTGCAAAAAGTTAGATTTAAGAAGTGTAATCAGATGACTAATAGATTTAGCGATTCCCTATATATGTGATAGGATTAGCTCTAATGAGTAATGGCTTTAGCGTTATTTAGATACGCATATAACATCATGAGTTAAATACACAAAAACTTACTTCACAAACTCCACTTACCATAACGTTCCCACTTGCTACTATCAACCTCTGTTACTTCAATTGTTTTTGTTTGTTACAAAGTCCCTTACCTAACGCTCTTAGCAATAGTATACAATCTGTACGGCATGATACGGCATGCTTAAAATATAGTCGAATCTTCCATTTATAGAATACCTAATTTAGTTCATAATTTAACCTACTTCGTTTTGATCAAGATAAAAACACGATTTTTAATGACTCTGTCTTTGCATTGTTAGGCGATATTTTAAGGCTTATAAGCAAAATATAACTCGCATGCTCGTTGCTAATAGCTGGTTCAAAAAGTTGTGGGGAGGGAAAATAAACCGTTAGCCATATAATCCACAGACATTTAATTCTTTGAAATGTTTTATCCAATTCTTTTGTAAAAACATTAGTCTAAAATACTCATTCACCTCAACTCTGGCTTATTTTTATATTCTCATAAATTGTTTACATTTGTTATTACTTTTGATTAATTATTTAGAACATATATTGTATTTTTTAGATGTAGTACATCCGGTTTGCCGGTTAGGAATTACATCGATTCGATAAAAAAATATCACGTGAATGTTATGTTTATCCTCATCCTCGACCTCAAGCAACCTCATTTCAAGCTTAACATTAATCTTAACTCTAACCTTAACTTAACCGTTACGGGAAACTGAACATTAACCAGATCGGTTTTTAAACCAGCACTGAATCGTGAACCTACAAACTTCGTGTAGCTTGTCTACTAACTACACCGTATCGTATCACTTCAATTATTTTTAGATTGCCACTACACCCCTCGCCTAGACTTCGTCATTCATTTAATTTAAACACTTAATACCTACACTCAGTGTAGAAATATCAACTACACTCAATGTTTGTATATTAGACCTGGGAGATGCAAACGTGCAACAGCTTGCGGTTCTGTAAAATTATCTATTCCATTTTAGCGTATCATTTAATAAAACTTGAGATTTACAGCACGGTAGTTTTACAAAAACTGTCGGACTAAGTTTGTTTTAACCTAACGCATCGATTTGAATCATTTATTTTCCTAAATTAGGTAAATTCGTTTTGTCCAATTTTGTTTATAGACTTTATTTATTAATTTAGATAAATGATATTAATAATAAGAAAATTAATAAAAAAAATTAAGAACACTTTAAAAAATAATATTTAGTGTTTTTTTCTTTTAAATTTATTTTATTGTTGTAAATGCAGTGTATAAAATGAAACAAAAACACTAAGTTGAAATTTTGTGTGAAAGGATAAGAGAAATTGATATTGCTTTTGTTTTCTGCAGCTGTTTATAATGAAGATAGCAGTTCTTCTCGTCGTGATGTGTCTTACAAAACTCTTTGGAGTATCGGACAGGCGAGTGAATTTAAATGTATTTAACGCATAATCCTGAAAATAAACACATTTGAATTTAACACAGAAACGTCTTTGAAAACTGGTTTATAAAAAAGTAAAATGCATTTTTAAAGTTTAAAAAAAATGTTTATGTGATTCAACAACTTTTAGAAGTAACCTAGATCGAAAATGATCTATTGGATTGTTTTACCATTGAAAAATAGTGTACCACTTTTTTAACGTCGGTCGCGATTTATAAAATCGTTAGGGAAAGTATACTAAATACATTTCAAATCTGACTGAAGTTGCTTTCTTTCCAACAACCAGCTGTTGTAGTTCCACCAACCAAAAATGCATCCTTCCATCGGACTGCTGCGTTGACCATGTCTGCTTGGGGTCAAGGTACAAGTCATTACATTTAATTAATTACTTATTGTATACCATCTTTTTGAAATGATGTCTGTTAAATCTGATCTGTCTTATATTGTATAAGAATATTGATTAAAGCTAGCTAATGGTGTAAACGATTTGGCTGAACATCAGTTATGTATTAGCTATATGCTTCAGTATAATGTATAATTGGCTTTGAGAAGCAATGGGTTTATATTGCAATTAGCTAAGTAATAGGTTCATAGTATATTCGGCCATTTCGATTTATACAACTTGTGAGGTTGAAGTCAAACAAATGTTATGATAAAATGGAAGTAGGATGTAAGTTACAAGATAAATCAATAAGACGTTGAGGTAGAGGTACTATCTTAACAACAGAAATACCTCTTAGATTTTTTATCTGCCATTCTATTAAATCCAGTATATTAATTTAATCAATGATTCGTATTTTTTTCATTCACAGTAAATTTGGTGGTACTTGCAATAAACTATCAGGATCAGTAATGTAGGATATTTTAAATCTTCGATTTTTTTTTTTTGCGCTAAGTTACTAGGCCTACACTATTTATAATTAAAACTAGGCATGCTGCCCAGCTTCGCTTAGGCTTTCGAAAACATTGAGAATTTGAATGCTTAATTAATTCGCCCGAGGGTCGGTCTACGACCTCAAGAGTTATGAAGAGGTTCCTCCGTGGACATTTTTTTTCGATTTATAGCTCATATAAGGTACCGGTCAGTCGAGGTCAGTTTTGACCCCCTCATCGTAGACTTTTCGGCCAACCGGCCCCCGTGTTCTGTCGCCCCAAGGCAAGATCCTGCCAAATTTGAAGCGCCTGCGGCGCCTGGAAGTGCCTTATCGGACACCCGACAATCTAGATCTAGATCTAGAATCCTAATTGAATTTTTTTTTTAAGTTTAGTCCGAGCAAAATAAAAATACATTAACCAAGTTGACTTGGTGGGTCTCGAACCCGCACCACCTGCGTGGTTTTTAGTACACTAACATCTCCGCTATTTAGGCACCTTATAAAATACAGAGAATGAAAGACGTATTTTAAAATCTTAACTTACGCGAATATGCCTATTCTTTCAAATTAATTTTTTTATCCCAAATTAGCCAGTTCCAAACAAAGATTTTGTATAAATAAATGTTATGAGTTTAGGCCGGAAAAATTGTATTGTATACATTTCATAGTGTACGTAGATCTAAATCAAATTTGAATGAAATAGTTCATTTCTTTTTTATTATAAACACGGCAGATGACGTCATTAGTAAGCAATACTGTCGTCACAGTTTTATGCGTTCTTTTACACATCTATTAATGCTTTTCCGGTTGCATAAATAATGCTGTTTCTCTACATTCGAATACGCCTTTATTTTATATTTTTCTTCTTTAAATAAAATTGTGGTTATACATTTAAAACATCTAACATATTATTTTCAACAAAAGTCCGTATAAAGTTCTTCATATATCGCTGCCGTTTCTGACGTGATGTCCGGCGAAAATTTTTTGCGGACAGAGAGAGAGAGAGATGTGCGAACGTGGCCCATTATAGTATTAGATAGTTGTATTTTCTAGATATTTGTACGCGTATACAACACTTTATAACTTACTACGTATTCCAACAATTAAGCTGTAGACAATCTTACACAAATATGTTTCTCATACCGCACCCTGGCCAAGTAACATCTCGTTTCTCGTACCGAACCCCTTACTTCACATATCAAATACCGCAACCCTACCCGAGAAATCTAACACGTAACATATCTCTACCACACCCTCACCTATAGACCACATCAACCGACACCAATAGTCAGCCTCAAATCTGGGACCCTAACATCCCCGACCCATACTTTAACCCTATCCCGATTTCTTTACTCCTTGCCTAAAAAAACACACCCCTAACCTAACACGCTACATCCTACACCTACACCGAGCCCTGCATTGAAACCTTAACTTCTCCTTCAATATGCAACACATCTCCCCACACATTTAGCTCACAAAAGCACGTCTACGTCCACATCTGTTTCATGTGTTTGAAAAATTGTTACCACACTTTACATTTGAAGTCAGCCTGAACATGCAACTCAACCCAAACATAAATACATATAAACTTAACACAGTCTGAACACAAAAATCAACCTAAACATAAATCCCTATAAACTCATCACTGCACCTCTTTTACTTGGACCTGTATGTTGAACTCACCTCCACTAAAGTTTTCCACACTGACCGATAGCTTCACTTATCCGCACTAAAACTTTCCTCTTGGACCGTTAGCTTAACTCACCTGACTGTTTTCCCTATGACCGTTGACTTTACTCACCTTTTTACCTTGGACTCTTAACTTGACTCCACTCCACTAATTACTTTTGTTTTCCCGCTAAAAACAATAGCACTACAATAGCAAAAAATAAACCGTGAGTGATCTCCCCTAAACTTGCTCAAATATTCTAATATAACACCACGGGTGATGGCAACTCGGGACGTAGACAATATTTTAAATCCATTTTTAATTACTTAAACTTTTTATAATAGAATAGAATCTCGTAAAAAAGAATGGCACAACCAATTGAACGCCAAATAAAATGTGCATAATAGTGCGGGATATTATTAGTACTTTATAAATTCACATGCGTTATTTTGAGAAATCGGAAATAGCGTAAATTACTACTTCCGCTTGACGGAAATTACTCAAATGTTGACTGAAGGCAGAGAATTAGAACTTTTACTTACATGTGAAGTTTCAATTATCTATCTGAAATAGTACTCAAGTTATAGGGTTTTTAAACATTAAAAGTAGAAAAAGCTCCACTTCCGGTTATCGGAAATCGCCCAAAAGATGATACGGAACTACGAGTTTGATAAAATACTTGTATGTTAAATTTCATCAACCTAGCCGTAACGGTACTCAAGTTATCGTGTTTACACATACACACAGACACACAGACACATACAGACATACTGACAAGATTGCAAAACTATGTTTTTCCGTCTTAGGGAGCCCTAAAACTTCGAGATTTGCAAAAATGTCGATTTTTTTTTGCACGATTACAAGACTTTTTCTATGCTTCGTATATACGAGAAAGTAAAAATAAGCATACATTCTCTTGTTATGAGAAGACAATATCAATTAAAAGAACATATTACTCATACCCTAGTCACAGATTCCAAAAAAAAACCACTAGGAGGAGATGGAAGTTGTTAACTACCCCCTCCCCCCCAGCTCAAAACGAGTTTCAGGGGTAATAGATTTCGGGCAGTATTTTTAATTTACTATTTTTGTGTTAATCTCCGCATATTTAAAAAAAAATAATGTATTTTTTATATTATTTTTACAGTGATAAGAATCATTAAAATCAACTTCGAGCAAAAATAATAAAAAGATGACACAAAACTTTCAGTTGTATAAGCGTTTTATTGACTTTACTTTCTCTGTCGTGATTTTGTCTTTTGTGCTTTTGTCTGTTTATCGTCCATCTTGGATAGAAACTAACGAGTTAAATTTCAACAATGTTTACCGGACCTATTTCTTACAGTGGGACCGAGTGGTCTAGCGGTACAAAGCTTGACTGCTAACCCGTAAGTCTCGAGTTCGAGTCCGGGTTCAAGTCAATAAACAGGTACACCCAAATCTGGTGGGTACCCAACTCACATTAGGGAAAGTAAAGGCCGAGAAGTCACAGAAACAAGTGAACTCTACTTCACTTGCCCTATAAAAATTAACTTTATTTTACTCAGATTTCTTTCAACCTAGGAACGTGTCTTGATTCGATAACAATGGGATGTGACTTAATTAAAGGCTATTTTTTTAAAATAATTAATGTATATAAATGTATATTTCCTGTATAACATATTCATTATATAGCCCTAGTATAAGTGTACTGCTTCTGTTCATTTCGCGTTTAGTTATTTTTACTCAAGCAGTTTTATTGCATTAAAATTGTTAAGTTTTTTTGAAAAAAAGATGTAATTGAAAACGTTTAAATAACATGCTTTAAAAGTTATGCTCTAAAAAGGAAAAAAAATATTTTTCTAATTTAATAAATAATAATGAATCAATGTTTAAAAGCTATTTTAACTAAAGCTTTTATATTTATATTAACTGTATATTATTCTCAATCGCAAATGGAAAATTTATTCTTGCAACAGAAAATAAATATCTTGTAGCTTAATAAGTAACATGCCACTTTATGCACATTTTATCGCATTTACGCGGTAGTTTAACACTGTTAGGTGTTCTTGCAATCAAAAGTTACAATCTCGTGAAAATAACATTTATGATTGAAACTACAATATATCAGAGAGCTTTTCTTTTTAAAACTATGTAGTTTTTATTAATATTTTAAAACATGTTCATTTTTTTAAATCGTAAAGTTTCTTGTAAATATAATAATGATATAATATAGTCTAGTATTTCAGGACAGTGGTACATACTTGTTTCTTTCTGATGACTTATAGAAGTGTAGATGCGAGTTTTTGTGCTTAGTTTTTTTTTTATTTAAATATGGATTCCAAGCGTTTCATATAGAAATTGTACAAAGCGTTTCAAAAAGACCAATAGTGTCACTCTTTTAAATGTGTGCATGTTTCTTGTCTCTATGTCTCTCGTGAATGTATCACTATTATCATTTTGGTGTCGACAGATTTGAGACGACAGCTTTGATATAATTTTGGTTAGGTGTCTACTTGATACAGCGATGTATACAGATCATTGAGATACAAAAATAAAGATAAATATATGGGGTAATTCTTATAGTAAAACAGATTCTAGTATTGTATGACGAGTAAGAAAAAACTTAGAAATACGGGACCACATGTAGTGTTAGCTATTTATTGTCAGAAACAACCAGTGGAACTGTTAAGCTTTGGTCATGGTCCATTCGGTCCAGTAGAAGACTCAGCACACAGGTCAGTCTCCTAATGTATGAGCTAGACGGTGACCAGAAAGATGCGCAGCGGAAAAAAAGCGCAAACAGAAAAGAGCGCAAACAGAAAAAGCACAAACAGAAAAGAGCTTAAACGAAATAAAAGCGCGCACAGAATTTTGCGCACATATTCGATGTGAAGCGTCAGAAAAATAAATGTAATAACATTATAATGAGCACCATCTCCATTCTTGAGATGTACATCTTTAAACAGAAAGTGTATCCTAGTGTGAATTGCAGCATCTAGGTATGTGATGTGCAACATTAGTGATGTGATGTGTAACATTAAGGATGGGATATGGAGCATTTAGGGATGTGATATGGGGCGTTTATGGATGTGATGTGCAACATTAGGGTTGTGATACGGGGCATTTATGGATGTGATGTGTAACATTTAGGAATGTGATGTGTACTCGTTAATAGTGTAAGTGCACCACTAAATAATGTAAAATGTACACCGTAATGATCTGTGTGCACTACTTATCGATGAGATGGGAACCAATTAACTATGTGCAATATTTAATCTACTTATGTTATTATATTTAAATGATGTTATTACAGCAATTCGGATAACGCTTGGTATTAACTCCTCTGATAATGTTCACGTAGAGCCCACTCTAGTATCACATGCACTAATGTTAAGTATTATTTAGTCTAAAAAATATGCGTATGTATATCGATCGTGTAGCAGCTTGATGTAAATTACCTAATTATCTATATCTGATGACTCTCTATAAGTATTACCTGAACTATATGTAAGTATTACCTGAACTATATGTAAGTATTACCTGAACTATATGTAAGTAGTACCTGAGCTATATATAAGTATTACCTGAACTATATGTAAGTATTACCTTAACCATCTATAATCTTCACCTACACTCTGTGAAGCTGATGATTACCTACAAGCCCAGTTAATACTTATAACAACACGCACGTGATGAAGTCATGCCAATTTAAACCATACACTTAGTCGAGATTAAGTGGTACTCAATCCAATTTATTTTAAGCTGATTGTTATACCAATGGTTGGATATTGCTGGATAACGCTGACTCATAGCCTAGATAAATAAATGCGAGTTAGCAAACCTAACTTTAAAAAGGGGTTAATACTATTATATGCTATTATATATCTAAACTAGAATAGATAACATCTTAGAAAGTTTAGATAGATCTTTAATTTTATTTTAAGGGATATCATTAACTAATGTAAAATTTGATGTTTATATTGTCTTTTTACAGGCAACATTAGGTTAAGGAACTATTTAATGTTGACATTTTCTTAATACTGTTAAATTACTATAACTAACTACAACTGTCCAGCCTCATTTGTAAGAAAAACATTTTAGTTTTCATCAGTTGATTGAAATGAAGGTCGCAGCTCTCCTTGTTCTGGTTTGTCTTGCTAACTTCTACAGCTCATCAAACGGGTGAGTACACTTGAAGGGTTTCAACACACACGTCTGAATTTAAAAGTAAAATTCACATTTAACATAAAAACATAATAGATGCGATACATTTGATTGTTTTTAGTTTAATGTAACATTAACATTAACATTGCTTAATAATACATAAAACTGTTAAATGCAAAGAAACTTGCATATATATATATATATATATATATATATATATATATATATATATATATATATATATATATATATATATGTATTTATGTATTTGTATATATGAATATGTATATATATATATGCTTGTATATATATGCTTATATACATATATAAGTAGTATATTAGGTCCCTTTTGGGTAGTATTTGCCTGGGGGTGGGGGATGTGGAGCAGGAGCAGAAGCAAAGATTATTTAGGAAAATACTCGGGATGCGGAGGGGGATGCGCAGGCGCCGCAGGAACAACGAGATATAGTAAAATACTCCCCCAACTAGGGGAGCAGGATGGGGAGGTTTAAATTTAAAATTTAAAATTGCAAAATTAAAATTAAAAAAAAAAATTAAATTAAATTTATTAAAATCAAACAAATAATCAAATTACGTAACTAGTTAATAAAAATTTACAAAACAAAATAAATGAAAAATCAAATTTAAATTAAAAAATAATAATTAAACTAATTAAAAAATAAACAAAGTCATTAAATTAAAATTACAAAATTAAAAATTTAAAAATTAAAATTTAAAAAAATAATTAAACTAATTAAAAACAAAGTAATTAATTAAAAATCTCATTAAAATTACGTAAGTAGATCACCACTGGTGATTACGTAACTAGGTCACCGATGGTGATAACGTCACAAGGTCACCGGTGGTGACCCACTGACCTACTCTCCCACCTGCTGAGTATTTTACTATATCTCGTTGTTCCTGCGCCACCACCAACCTTCCCATCCTGCTCCCTCAGGTGGGGGAGTATTTTCCTATATCTCGTTGTTCCTGCGGTTCCTCCGCCTCCCCCACCTTCCCCCAGATGGTGGAGTATTTTACTATATCTCGTTCCTGCGGCCACCACCACCACCCGAGTATTTTCCTATATCTCGTTGTTCCTGCGGCGCCTGCGCATCCCCCTCCGCATCCCGAGTAATTTCCTAAATAACCTTTGCTCCTGCTCCTGCTCCACATCCCCCACCCCCAGGCAAATAATACCCAAAAGGGACCTAATATACTACTTATATATATATATATATATATATATATATATATATATATATATATATATATATATATATATATATATATATATATATATATATATAATATATATATATATATATATATATATATATATATATATATATATATATATATATATATATATATATATATATATATATATATATATATATATATATATTAGCAAAGTGCTTTACTTTTAGTGTAAAAAATCATCGCTCATCTTGTTTTCATCATACAATTTTAATATTACATGACGTGATAACCATGAAATTTATCCAACAGTTGCTGCCAACGGACAGGTGAACCATGCATGGTCCAAGTTGACTGTTGTGGCGATAACAATTGCGAATTGTAATTATTTAGTTTTTTTTAAGGGTTTCAGGAAATATAATATATGTAAAAATGTTATGGTGTCCCAAATACCTTTCGGGGTTTGAAATAAGGTAAACCCACGACAATAGAAAAAAACCTATTACTTAGTGTTTGTAAATTATTGCGTTTAATATGAAAACAATATTGCCTTTAAACTTTTTTCTCTGGGGGAGGGGGTGCTCTTAATATTTTCGGGGGGGGGGGGAACATTAAAATATATTTGTTTCTATATAAAATATTGTTCATGGTGTGGGGGCGATAGACTTTTTTCGGGGATGGGAGTGTGCGGGAGGGGGGGGGGGGAGGCGGAGCAAAGTCTGTATGTAAAAGAAGTTAAAAATTCGAAATAAAATGTTTTGATAAGGTCATTCTAGGACTCGAATGGTTGTATCGCACAGTGTACTAAACTAAAGAGAACCCTCATTTTAATATTATTGTAGTAACTCTGTTACAATATCTATATATATAATTCTCTTCTGGGATCAGTTAGAAAACGAGCTGCAAGCGCCTCCTTGCAGTCCCCTCTCTTTCTCTCTATCACTATCACTACCACCCCCACCCCACCCCAACATTGTCTGGTGAGCGGCGTTCACTCTAAATTTTTACAAAGCTAAATGTTTACAAATCGTAGAGCCGTACAGCCGGGTTTCTATTAGGGGCAGATAATTTAGTTCGATTTTAAACTTTTTTAAGGTAACTAAGAAATAACTAAGAGGAGGCTGCTTTCACGGGGGGGGGGGGTGTAGGGTCGGGGTTAGGGGAAAGGGGAAAGGGGGGGGGGGGGTTAGTGTTTTAAAGCAAATATTTTCAGTGGCAGCATTGGTACTGTCGAATTTACAAATTATGAATTACTGAAAAGTAGAAAATAAAACAACTAAATAGCGGTGTATGATACGCTGCGGGTCGGCTGGTATAAGATAATTGAAAAAGTTCAATAGTTTGGATGCCATGACTTGTTTCGACTTCAGTCTCCCTGTCGTGTCAATCACTACACACATCTGACACATTGACATGTGTTTGCCATTGCTTTCTTGCATTTCATTGTCAAGTAGGTTTACCTATGTTTAGATATATAATAGATTTATTGTGCAGTCATATATATATATATATATATATATATATATATATATATATATATAGGTTCAGCCATACGTTTATTAATGTAAACGTTGTCTCTATATATATTCATTTAGCTGTAGTCATGTGTGCAGTTACGTATGCAGTTGTCTTTGAGTGATGTAATCAGATAAACTATAATGGTAGTGCAACTATTTATGTATGCAGTTGTCTTTAAGTGCGGTATCAGATACACCATAATGGTAGAGCAACTATTTTATTGGCACACGCTATCTCAAATTATATCCTAAAATGTATTTATTCAGATATTTTTCTTCCTAGAATGGGCCGTTTTGAAGGTACCTGTGATCACATGTACACCATAGTTCGAGGGTATGAGCGTTTTTTTTCGTCGTATATGTTTTTGTTTTCTCGAAATTCTTTGTCTAAATTTTACATGTTTAATAAGACTATGTATTCGCTGATCGTTACTATAACTGTTGTTTAAGACACACTTTAAAAAAATCTCATAATAGTTCATGTGAAGCTCGAAAGAGAAATGAAGTAGAAAAACATTTTTTTTTTTAAATGGCACTTATTAATTCAATCGGCTGAGATTTGATGTTGATTATTATTTTCCTTTAGGATCATTCTATTTATATATTTTATTTTATTTTAAAAATTAATTTCTTTTCAGATGAAAGACAACTGCCAAGATGTTCTAAATATATGATACTAACAACAGTTGCGTCATGTCGTTTTTATGTTACTTTATTTGATGTAATCTTTTTCTCACTGGAGAATTATATAAGAATATTAGGTACTACTAGAATACCCGTCATCCGTTGGATAACTGTGGGTTTCGGGGGTCATCCATCAAAAAACATCACGTCTGTCACTCAGAGGCATAGCGACCCTTCCCGGCGCCCGGGGACAAAGTTTTCGATTTGAACCCCCCCCTCAAACTTTTGATGTGCACCCCCCCCACTCAAACTTTCGATTTGAACCCCCCTCAACCTATCAATTTATTTTTCCAAACCATTTTGGCGCCCCAACATATGCCCCCCCCCCCCCCCCTTCCCCCTCCCCACCCCCCGCCTCCCCTTCCCCCCCCCCCACCCCCCGCCTCCCCTCCCCACCCCCTGCCTCCCCTCCCCTACCGTCCCCCCCCCCCCCTCCTCGGTACGCTACTGCAGTGTCACTTATCGTCACAAAAAACAGACCCCACATTCAAATATATGTTTTTTATCTTTTAAAAACACCGAAAACACCGATTTCGGACTATCCCTTCATAAACTGACGTCACAGGTGACCTACTCAACTCTACTTCACCTGCCCAGTGTCCTGCCAAGTCTCAGACAACATGTTTTTATCGTTTAAAAAACAATTCCAGCCGAGCATGTATCTGACCACACTATCCTTTCATATGCTTAGGACAAAGAAACAGATGAACTCTACTTCACCTGCCCTGTATCTTGCCAAGTTCAGATAGGCAACGTTATCATTCACATCTAAAAAAAAAAAATTGAAAAAAAAAATTTCATTGACATATTGGTCTAGAACCCGTGCCTCCTGCATGAGAGCTGACTACGCTACCATTTTAGCTATTTACTCGTGACGTCACAAGTGAATTTTTATACTATACTATGTGTCTCCTTATGCAACTTGATTTACGCGTATAGATTCTAGATCTAGATCTAAAAATAAGTCTAGTAGTACTAACTTTCAAATTAAATTTTATCTTAAATAAGCCAAACAAAGATTTATATAAAATAATTAAGGCCTGAAATAGATTCTAGATGTAGAATTTACATTAAGTCTAGATCCAGAATTTACATTGAATCTAGTGACCTACATCTAGGCTAGATCTAGATCTAGGCTAGATTCATAAATTTCCTTCGATAGCTGATCTTTAGATCTAGAGAAATTTATCGTAAAACTAAATGAAAAAGACAGTTGAAAATTGATATAAGTGTTGGAACGTAATAAATACAGCAAACGGACGTATTGTTTAAGTTATAGCCGGCAGAAAATTAGCTTTGTAACGCGTTAAACTTTTGAATGGGCCACAAAGTCTATGATGAAGTCCGCCATTTTTATCGTACCAAAAAGTTAACATATCAAGGGACGTCACTATCCCCACAAAGTTTATTCAAAGTATTAACATTTTTTAAAAAATACGGTTAATTTAACTATGAATAAATCAATAAATTAATTAACGTCTTTAAATAAATTTGTGATTAACAGTCTGTCTGCATTAAAAAATTATTCTCTACCTACATACTATTTTACAGCTATCCAGATTGAGTCGAACATATCACAATAGTTGATCAGGCAAACAAACAAACAAACAAAAAAACAAACAAAAAAATAAATATTCAAACATGTAAACAAACTTGACTTTTAGTAGTATATAGATACTAACACAACAGAAATATTTAACGTTAAACATTGGCATTACACATTAGCTTGATGGACATAATGCATAGCAATATGCTAAAAGGCTTTTCAATTGATTTGAAATGTGTGTTTGATTTATTCGTTGTTTCTCAAACCTAGATAATAGTTGTGATATAAAAAACAGCATTTCTTTTTTACAAAATAAGTTGCTTAAGGAAACTTACTTAAGTGCTTATGTCGTTGCTGAGACCACCTAGCTCTAATTAGTACCTGACAAACATTTGGCGGGAGGGCAATGTGCTAATCACAGTATCCCTTCATAGTCCGTGTTTGTGAAAAAAAGCTGAACTCTACTCCATCTGCTCTACGCCAAGCGCTTGAGTTGAACCCCCAGGAAAAAGGGAAGAGAGGGCGTACAAGACAGACCTGGAGTTGGAGTCTTATCAAAGAACTGAAGCCAACAGGGATGTCTTGGGAGACGGCAACATTAATAGCCGGGGAGTGTAATAAATGGAAGGAAATGGTGGAGGCCCTATGTTCCAAAGAGGATTAAGTCAAAATTAAGTCAAAACACCATCTGCCCCGTAACTATAATTTTAGAAATAAGTAAACATTCATCGTGTATAAGGTCAGGTTGGGGTTATTGTGTATTGACAGACACAATGCAGGCGAACTTGAGCCACTTTGTTCCCATGTTTGATCACAAGATGTCTGCAGCACTTTTCTCATTGGCAATTCTACAAAATAATGTTTAATAAAAACGCTTTGCAGCTAAAACAAATCAATAGTTAGCTTAACAATACAACAAACAACGTAAACACACAAAAATACATTGACGTAATAGAAAACAATACAAGTAAACCAATAAGTAAACAAACACAAACGAAACATCGCAACAAAATAACATCGTCAAAATATAAAGTGTATTTCTTATATGAACCATAATTGTTAAAAGACCCACTAGGATCTGTACAGAAAATCCTTAGCTCTAATATTGTAATCAACATGTAATACCAATGCTTACATTTACATTATGTGTTAATATGCAACTTTAAGTAATCTTTAAAAACTATTACAAAAATATATATGCACAGTTGATTAAAAACGTTTAAATATTACTTCAGTTGAAACAGTAAAATCCAGGGAAAAAAGCATGCATTAAGTACCTACATAGATGTTTACCAATACTTTTTGCCATGTTGCTTGTTTTTTATTTATAGCGAGTTTAAGGAACATTAGGTGATAAAAATAGTTACTGAAAGATTAAACGTGATGCACGCGGTTACCTGTGTGTGTGTGTATGCGTGTGTGTGTCTGAGTTTGTGTCCGTGTGTATGTGTGTGCGTGTGTCTGTGTTTCCGTGTGTGTCAGTGTGTGTGTTTGTGTGCATATGTCAGTGTGTATACATCATCACTACCTCAAGCTTTATGTTCTAACAAGCTAACTACTCACCTTGAGAAAAATGCTTTTTAAGGGAGACTGGGAGTCAATTATTAAAAGTTTGAAAGTCGTTATTTAGTTTTGAATATTCAAAAGTATCGTGGGAATATGAGATTAAAATAAACGAGAAGTCTAAAGTATTTGATCGTTCCTTCTTGAAACAAAGTCTATTTTGTTTTTAATTATTCAATAAAACCCACATGACCGTATTAAAGGAAAACAAAATATGTTCAAAACCATTTGAAAACGAACTGTGACTTTGTGTATTGTATAATGCCAATGAAAAATTAACAAACGAAAATAGTGCACTTCATATACTGAACGTGTAAAGGATCCGAACCTACCAATCCACGCCTCGCCTTCCATGCGTCAAGTCTGACAAGTAAACACTGCAGCTAAGCAGCTCTACAAAAATAAAGCATTCTTTGCTGAGCATTATCACAGCTTGTACATGGGATATTTCTGTGCCTGTGTCTACCCACTTGGTTGTTGAAATATTACGTTCGGTTTGTATTGCTACCAGAGAAGTTAAAAGATTTAGTTGATGTAAACTTTCAAGTTATTATCACATGAAGGAAAAGATTTAGTTGATGTAAACTATCAAGTCATTATTACATGAAGAAATAGTAAGTCACAGACACAAGGGAGAGTATTCTGTACAAGCCTGCAACTCAATGATATTAAATGGTTATGGTTTTTGAAAGTAGCTCATCTATATATATTATTCTCTTCTGGGAGACGCTAGAAAACAAGCTGTAAGCGCGCCTTGCAGTCCCCTCTCTTCCTTACTAGGCATAAATCACCCTCCCCCACCCACACATGGTCTGGTGAGCTGTGGTTCACGCTAAATGTTTATAGACATAGAGCCGGGTTTAGTGACTCCTATTAGGGGCAGATAATTTAGTTTGAAAATATTTTAAACTTAGGGGAGGTAATTAAGAGGAGGCTGCTTACACGGGGGTGGGGGTAGGGAGGGTAGGGGTTGGGGGAAATGAGGGTGGGCGGGGGGTTATCTTCCTTAACGACCAACTGATAGTGTTTTAAAGCAAATATCATCAGTGGCAGCATTGGTACCGTCGAATTCACAAATTATGAATTACTGGAAAGTAGAAAAAAAAACAACTAAATAGCGGCGTATGATACGCCGTGGGTCGGCTCGTTACTTATAAAGAACACACACTAAAGTAATGCAGTCAAGTTTTTACAGCACATTATATTAGTCTATTATGGTATTTGTGTTAGCGACGTAATATTATAATATTTTGTTTCTGATTTATCCAATATATATATTTCAAGGTATCAGTTGTGTAATAAAATAGTTACAATTTTAGAAAAGGGTGGAGTTCAGTGTTGTCTTCTACTTGACCGAATGGACCATGAGCAAAGTTTGACAGTTCTACTGGCTGTGGGTGACAGTTAATACTTCGGGCTACTGGTCATCACATTCATTGTAATCTGCTGTGTTACATTCTTAAAATAAATCAACGTAACGTTTTTAACAAACGTCTTTTTACTTCCTGCTTTTTACCATAAATACCCAACTGACAAGAGAGAACGATTACACTAAACAGACCCACCATATCAAGTAGAACTGTAGTCCAGATTTACCTCATTATCTTGAACTGATCCGTCCACCTACTGACAAAACTTCATAAATTATGTTTTGTACTGTGAAACACGTGTGTCAACAATGTGTCAAGACACCTGAGTTCAAACGTACACTGCTAGGGTTGTGTTACTTGAATGGCGAATTCTACTGCATACCAGTGTGTGCATTCCGCAAGAATGTACTCATACTAAGCTTGTTTCCAACACATAAATTGTTCAAGTAACTCTAAGTAATGGAACTACATATATTGTATTGTTTTATCTTATCCGTCAGTGTGATGCCAATGACCACAGGCAAGTTTTTTTTAAATTTAGGTTAACTCAAGAATTTAAAACAAAAAATGTTTATGTAATTCTTGCACATTTTAACTAATT